TATCTGTCCATTCTGAAACAGCATTGCTAATGGGTGTTTAATGCGATTTAAACAAGAGTAACAACATTAATGACCTCGAATGACCGCGATCTGTCAACTGTCACTTGAAAAGTACAGCTTGCAAAGAAAATTATTTTTCAACATTTATATTTAGTAGTCTTAGTATTACCAAATCTATTGAAGTCATACAAGTAATAATTTTCTATTTTCTTTGTTGGCAAGATTTCGCTAAAAAGTAAATTAATTAACTAAATAAATAATAAATTAAATTATTTATTGAAGTGCTTGATTCCGATTACAACTTTTTCTTTCATGGTTCTTTTGTATTTATATGTTAATAAATATTATTTCAAAAATATCTGATTTGTTCACCGTACCCAACTGGTTTCAATTGACAGCTATAACGTTACAATATGGTGCCAGGTCTGTCTAATTCTTATTTGAATCACATTGTATTATGACGTATTTTGAGTATGTCAAAACATCACCTTATCGGGGAGATCTAAGTCCAGCAGTGAATAAAGAAAGGACCGTAAATTAGGCTGATAAATTGATCGTAATCGTATGTATTATTATAACATTACTCTACCTCGAATGCGCTTCATTGTGATCGACAAACAGAAAAGATATAAAACTGATATCTTATATTTATGCGAACACTACATACACATTTAAATAAAAATAGGATTTTATCGCGTAAATTAATTTATTTTTGATTGGAACAAAAATTTATAATTTTAATCTGGAGATAGCCGTGGTTAACTGCGGCATTGGAACATCGAACACCTCAGCCTCCTCTTGACCATGGGTGCTGTTAACTGCTCGAAACGTCAGTAATATAAAATAAGTTAATATACGCGATAGAATCCTTAAAATAAACTAGATTTATTTAAAAGATATTAAATTATTATTTTAAGGGAAAAAATTTCACCTATAAATTGAATTTTTTAAGAAAAAAGTAGGACCTTTACAGTTTCGCAACCGTTGTTTTACACAGCATGTATGGAAAGTCACGTAAGGATTGTGAAGGACCGTAAATCTAACATGGGGCATGACGTGCAGTAGTGCCTTCTCGGCTTCTTCTTTTTTATATAAGGAAGAAAAAATATTTGAAACCTTGTTCGCTATGACCAATGTGGAAAAAAGAAATAAAATTACATTTATTACAATTCATATTTATATAAATCCGTTAATCTTTCTCTCATTTTTAATTCATTATTTTTCTTGGTTGTATGGAAGACATAGCTGTGTAGCAATATGACCGCCTTTTGTTTTTCCCTCAGTTTTTGTTTATTTTTGTTATATTTATCTTTCCTTTGTGTATAATAAAGAGGATTGGAATGGTAGCCCCGAAGTATTTACTTGAGTTTGTAATTATATTACCTATAGGTAGGTAAACTTGTGTAGCACCTGCAAATATTTGATGATACTGCTGTGTCTATCCCTACGACAAATAAATAGGTACAAAAATGTAGAAAGGACTAAGAAAAGTTATAATAACTTGTTAATTGTGAAGACGAATCGACCATTTTATTTTTATCTTTCCTTACTTACTTTTAGTCGGGAGTTTCTTCTTAACTTAATTTTCCTTTGTATTTTCACTTTTTAGAGAATCCCTACGTTACTGTCTAAATATCTATCTGTTATTCTCTATCTACTCAACAATTTACTAGTGAGAGAACTGTGAACATTTAATTAAAGCGAATAAACCAAAGTAGATTTCAAATGATATAAAACACAGAGAAAATAACAGTACTTTATGATAATCACTAATAATTTTGCTATGTAAATAATGACCACGTCTGAAACTCGAATTCAATATACACGATTAGTCAAGCACTTCAAACCACTAGGCTACCCTTTTGATGCATCAAAATGCATTGGACATTGCATTACATCGTTCTCAACAGGGCCATAAATTAGTTTTAGCTCCGTAAATTCAAATAGCACACAGTATAACGAACTGTATTTAGAAAATTATCTTTTTTTAGTTTGTTGAGAGTTAGATGGTTTTCGAGTTTGGTCAATCAAAGGACATAAATAATATAGTAATAGTAAATCCTCATTTAAAAATTAATAATCCTTGCACGTGGATATTCATAAATGGCATACGGCTAAAGTTGTGTAGCTTGTATTGTCTAACCCTGCCCCTACCACTTGTCTCTCTGTGTCTCTGTGCCCATGAGCGGGCACATCGATGTTTATTGGCTAATACTTTACTATTTTATTATTTAACTTAAAACTTATAGACATCTCCCGCCAGACGAGGAGTCCAGCCCGGGAAACAACTAACACCCCATGTGCTGTACGGATCTTGTTCTATATAAGCAGAGTCGTTCAGAAATAACAGCGTGATTTTTGACTTCGGTAGCTATTCAGCATAGTTACGCTATTTTAGAGCGAATAGCGCATAATATATATTGCCATGTGGCTCGTTTAACATATTCAATAAACAAGTATAATAGTTTCTTTTGTTTTTAATAATCTTTTTAACTGCGGCTTCGCTCGCATGGGCCTCAATTTAGGAACATCATTAACACTACTACGTGCCAAAATTAGCAAAATTGTATTACTTGTAGAGTAACCTCGGTATCTGTGTCTCTATGTCTGTTATTCACAGGATTTTTTAATTTTTAGAGACCATTGGACGTAAATTATTTAAATATGGCAATACTTGTACAATATGCTTATTTGGAGATCTGTGTGTTCAGTTACCTGTATGCTGTCAAATCTACTGAAGACTTCATTTCCCGTCTATCAGCCATGAGATTAAGAGTATGATAGGAAAGTTTTTGTGTGCTTCTCGGGCGTATCTTGCATAACTTAGCTCCGACCGCATGGATAGTTTCCACGAGCTTGTCATTCATATCGTCCACTGCATTGCAATTTTCTAGGCACTGAAAACAGTTTCGTAGCTCGAGCTGAAAGGTTTCGGGACTTTGGATTAGAGCAGGAGGGGGACGGAGCGTTGACTTCATTAAGGTGGCTCTTCACGTTGGCCAACACAGTGGCGAATGTGTTGGCAGAGATATTGGCCAAGAAATTGTGATCGTGTCCACACGTTAGAAGGTCGTTCAGTTTGCTTCGGTTCAGGCTAATGTGCGGACGAATTTATTAAAATGATTATTGAAGCGCTAACGGCTGTTGCGGTTTATTTATTCACAGCATACCGCTATTTGTTATTTAATTTTCACTATTTTTAATTTTTAATATTTATCATATAAATTTTTAATATTTCTTTATTATACACTAACGCTATACAGATCAGTAAACTTTATAAACATTAACACACCTAGGCATAGATATAATTAACTAAGGCCTGGGAAATATTCGAAGCCTGTCTATGAAACTGTTGTAAATTTTTTATTAAACAAAACCTTTTTAAAAAAAGGGTTATTATATAATTATAGAATATATTTATTTATTTACACTTTCATGCACAAAGTAGTACATATGGCAAACTTAATAATAATAATAATAAGGCGTAGGGAAGTGACGACCCCATCGCCCGCTGACGTAACGGTTATGTGACAAAACTGCTACGTCAGCGCAGTCAGTCAGCACCTTGCCAAGAGGTGTTAGCGCCGTGCCTCGGCAAAATTGGAGGTGCTAAGGCCCGATTGTGCACATGGCCTCACCATGAAACAGTGCCGGGTCTGGGCGTCTCCCGTTAACTGACGCCCAATTCATGGATGATGGAATTTAGGAATACGCGCAAAGGGCCGCTGCCTGGAGGTCGCCAGGGCGCGTCTGGAGCTGGCGCTGGACGCGGCAGCATGCGAACCGCCAGTCGACCGCGAGGTGCTGCACGACCACCCAGCAGCCCCTCGCATCCATCATCCCCACCAGCTGGCTTGGTGTTGGCAGGGTCTTCGTTGGCCCAGCAATCAGCACCCGCCACTGGTGGAGTACGCCGCATGCGTTGGTCAATGCAAATGAACCAAAATGCATTGCGGGCGTATTTTGGGGCGAAAGGGAGAGAAATTTGAGGTTTTGGGTATCGGGCTAGGATGCACCGACTATTTGCTGAGCTGGAGCCATCTATTACCGTTACCGATCAAAACCTGGCAGACCGAGTTCGGTACATCATGCGCTCAAAAATATTTGATGACGCCGAACTCGAACGGCTACGACGTGAGGCTATTCCTTTGTCGAATGAAAATGCTACGACAGGAGATGCGGCTCTACGAGTTGCAGAGCAACCCGCACATGTAGATGCCGCCGTAGATCTCCTTGTAGTTGACTCAGGCGACGATGGAATAGTCGCCCCAGAATAAGAGCAAATGAGGAGCATAGTGGAAGAGGCGATTAGGGAAACGCGCAGTACGCCTCTCGAGAATCGACCGCGACTTCCCCGTATACCCCTAAGCAAGCGGAATCGGGCTGTCGTGAAGGCTCTCAACCCAATGCTGGTGACCTATTTGGAAGCCAGCCGGGACCTTTGCGAGACGGACTCAATTCTTTTTGGCGCCGCACTGGCAGTTTGCCGTATTATTGGCGCCAAACTTTCCAAGGCTGGACGCGCTACTAGACAAAGTAGCGCCATCCCAGCCTGGAGAAGAAGGATTGAGGACCCTATCGCAAAGGCAAGGGCCCTCATCGGCAGGCTGATAAGCTTCAGGTCGGGCAATAATAGGCCGAGAATTGTGCGCACCGTCAGGATGGCGTTTGCTGGGACAAACATCAGTTTGTCCCAGTCGGATATAACGCAAAAACTGACGGAGCGCATAGACGACCTGAAGCAGAGAATCGCTGCTTGGGGGAAGCGGATTCGGCGATATACCGAGAGGTCGACACGGTTCAACCAGAATCGTCTCTTCCAGAGTGATCAGAAGAGGCTCTATGAATCATTGGAGCGACCAATGGTACGTGGAACGGGCCCAGCACCGAATCAGGCCGACACTATCGCATTCTAGCGCGGCCTGTGGTCAGAGCCCGTAAACCACAGTGAGGGCCCTTGGACGGAAGTTGTGGCAAGTCAGTGTGCGAATGTTACGCCCATGGACCCCGTCATCATTACGCCGGATGACGTAGCTGAGGCGATCCGTAGGGCCCCGAACTGGAAAAGTCCGGGACTCGACGGACTGCATCACTACTGGCTGAAGGGGTTCGTGGTGTGTCACGCTGTTCTCGCCCGACAGTTTCAAGAGGCTCTCGACCAAAAGTCGCTCCCGAGCCTCTTCACTACTGGGATCACTCATTTGGTTCCTAAAGACCGAGATTCCACAGACCCTAGCAAATACCGCCCCATAACGTGTCTACCTACCTTATACAAGACACTAACGTCCATTTTGAGCGCGAGAATCACTCGTCACCTGAACTCAAATCAGGTGATGTCGCGCGCTCAAAATGGATGTCGGGTCGGCGGTCGTGGAACCAAGGAACCACTCCTCATTGACGCGGTCATTGGCAAGGTGGTTAAACGCAACCGTCGGAACCTCTCCGCCGCCTGGATAGACTACAAAAAGGCATTCGACTCGGTGCCTCATACATGGCTGAAGAGGGTCCTCGATCTGTACAAGGTTGACTGTACAGTTCGAGACTTCCTCGGGCAGTGTATGGGGCAGTGGAGTACGATCCTTTGTCATCTAGGCGAGCGGATGACGGCTGCGGAGAACCACATAAGGATAAGAAGGGGTATCTTCCTGGGCGATTGTCTGAGTCCAATCTGGTTCTGCCTCTCTCTGAACCCTCTTAGTACCTTACTGGAGGGTTCCGGAAGGGGATTTCAGCTTCGGTGAGGAGGTACAAAAGTGACCCACCTTTTCTATATGGATGATCTCAAGTTATTCGCCTCCAGTCGCTCTCATCTTATGGAATTGCTAAACATCACTTGTGATTTTAGCAATTCTATTGGAATGGAGCTGGGGACGGATAAGTGTGCGGTCCTCCATGTCGAAAGGGGTAGGGTTGCTAACTCTGAGGGCATAGACTTATCTATGCCCATCAACATAAAGACCCTATCTGAGGCTGAAACATACCGATACCTGGGTATGTCACAGAACATAGGTATCGATGAGGCGGACATGAAACAGTCATTTTGCGGTGTGTTTTATGCACGCTTGACAAAAGTGCTTAACAGTCTTTTGTCGGGCGTTAATAAGACACATGCATATAACGGTTGGATCATACCTGTTCTCATGTATACCTTTGGCATGCTCAGGTGGACTCTTACCGAACTGAACGCTCTGGACAGAAAAGTCCGCACTATAATGACGTCCCACAGGATGCATCATCCGAGATTGTCAGTAATGAGGCTGTACTTGCCGCGGAAGCATGGTGGGCGCGGCTTTTTAAGCGAGCTTACCATGCATAATAGCGAAGTGTGCAGCCTCCGTAATTACTTTCTGACGAGAGCGGATGATCCATTCTATAGGGACGTTATTTCTTGTGATAAAGGACTTACCCCTCTATCCTTAGCCAACGAGCAATGGCAAGACCCGGCAGTACAGAGCATTTCCGACCCGGAGACCGTATGGAAGGAGAAGGAGCTCCACGGGAGGTTCTACAAGGCTCTACATGAGCCTTGCATAGACACAGTCGCCTCCCTCCACTGGCTACGTTTCGGTGACCTCTTTGGGGAAACCGAGGGTTTTGTCTGTGCGATACAGGATCAGGTTATTAAGACCAACAATTATCGGAAATACATCCTAAAGGATGGCGCCGTCGACATCTGTCGAGCTTGTCGCCATCCCGGTGAGTCACTTAGGCATGTCATCTCCGGTTGTTCGGCGCTTTCTAACTCTGAGTATTTGCACAGACACAACCTAGTAGCCAGGATTCTACACCAGGAGCTCGCTCTGAAATACGGTCTCATGGATCGGAAACTGCCATATTATAATTACTTGCCGGAAGCCGTGCTCGAAAATGACCGCGCCAGGCTCTACTGGGACCGGGCCATCATCACAGATAGGACTATTCTTGCGAATAAGCCTGATATTGTGCTGATGGACCGGGCACAGTCAAGGATATTTTTGGTCGACATTACCATTCCTTATGACGAGAACCTCGTGAAAGCCGAAACAGATAAGTTGACAAATTATCTGGACCTGGCTCACGAGGTGACCGACATGTGGGGTGGTCTGCCGGCCTAAATTATTCCTGTGGTCGTCTCTGCGAACGGGTTAATCCCGGTCAGCCTCCGAGAGGCTGACCGGGATTAACAGTCACAGTCATCTGAGGCGACTGGGACTCCGTGGCGGGTCGCTCCAAGCTCAAATGCAGAAGGCGGTGCTCCTCGATACCGCCCGCATCGTCCGCCGTTTTCTTTCCCTTTCCCCCTAACTCTCGGCCGTTTGGTCTCCCCTGCCGAGGGCTTCCATCTGGTTGGGTTTTTATATATTTATGTAATTTTTATGTATTTATTTTATTTTATTGATATTTATGTAAGTTTATCATTTTCATTTACAATTATATATTTATACAGCCCAACCAGATGAGAAAACTATACAAATACCCCATAATAATAATAAATAATTTATTTCGTCAAACATTAAAGTTACATTATATGATCAGTGATCGAGGTCACCTAGTAAGCAAAATAATGCCTGTAACAGGTAACTTCGCTCTTCCATAGCTATACAGTATTATTAAGGAAATAAAGTACCTAACTAATAGGGAATAATAAAGACAGTTAAAACATGATTTTAGTATCCTAACTTTTAATTTGATTTTAATATCTTACCTAGTAATAAATCAATTAATACATCAATAAATAAATTAATACATCAATCACTACAACGTGAATGTGTATAAGAAAAGGGTGAACAAAAAGAATTGGAAAAAGAAAAGATTTTATTTCTTGGCGGCTCCGTGGCGTAGTGGCTTAGCAATGAGTTGCTGCGCTGGAGGCCGCGGGTTCGAATCCCGCACGGTACAAGTATTTGTTTAGCCTGCACATAATTGCTCCGAGTCTGGATGTTTGTCCATATGCAATTTATGTATCTAAACTGCCTCCACGATACAGGAGAAAATCTTAGTGTGGGGGTAACTTTTTTTTTTTAAAAAAGAGTTGTGTTTCACAAACAATTTTCGGCTTGGTAGGGCTCTAAAAAGCGTAAAGTTTTTTCATTGGTCATTGTTACTGCCGTTATGTAGAGATGCGTGCATATAAAATTTAAATCAGGTGCGTGCAATCACTCTGGGAGCTCGTAGCAAACTGAACGTGCGCCCAACGTGTGGACGCGGCAGCAAATACTCTGCCACAACCCTTTGATCTTTTGTAAAAAACCGAAACCAAACGGATCTCGCACCAACTGGTGGGCCATCGTTCCAATACGTACCAACGTAGCTTAAACACCCGCTCTACACGATGGCCATCGTTGTTGGCCAACACATTCGCCAGTATGTTGGCCAACGTGAAGAGCCGCCTTTAGACGTGACTTTTTTATTTATATGTTAATAAATATTATTTCAAAAATATCTCTTTTCCTCACCCTACCCAACTGGTTTGAATTGACAGCTATAACGTTACAATATGGTGCCAGGTCAGTCCCATTCTTATTTGAATCACATTGTAATAAGACGTATTTTGATTATGTCAAAACTTCACCTTACCGGGGAGGTCTACGTCCAGCAGTGAATAAAGAAAGGACCGTAAATTAGGCTGACAAATTGATCGTAATCGTATATATTATTATACACTCTACTCGATATCTCTCTCATACTCTACCTCGAAAGCGCTTCATTGTGATCGACAAACAGAAAAGATATAAAACTGATATCTTATATTTATGCGAACACTACATACACATTTAAATAAAACTAGTTTTTACGGATTTCATCGCGTAAATTAACTTATTTTTGGATTGGAACAAAAATTTATAATTATAAATTGGAGGTAGCCGTGGTTAACTGCGACATTGGAACATCGAACAATTCAGCCTCCCCTTGACCATGGGTGCTATAAACTGCTCGCAACGTCAGTAATACTCGTATAAGATAAGTTAATATACGCGATAGAATCCTTAAAATCTAGTTTTATTTAAAAGATATTAAACTATTATTATAAGGGAAAAATTATATTATAGGTGACTATAAATTTAATTTTTTAAGGAAAAAGTAGGACCTTTACAGTTTCGCAGCCGTTGCTTTACACAGCATATATGGAAAGTCACGTAACAATTGTGAAGGAAAAAGAACCCCTTTGTCGTATCTCCTCAGTTTCAAGGTACTCCCCTTGTTGTCTCAGCCAGTATCGGAATCCTCGGCGTCGACATATCGAGTAGCGTGCAGTTTCGTGGTCACTTGGAAGAGAAGGCCAAATTGGCCTCTAAAAAGCTTGGCGTGCTCAGTAGAGCGGGACAGTGTTTCATGCCGGCTCAACGCCTGCAACTTTACAAGGCGCAGGTTCGGCCTCACATGGAATACTGTTCCCATCTCTGGGCTGGGGCTCCCCAGTGCCAGCTTCTTCCACTTGACCGCATCCAGCGCAGAGCGGCTCGAATCGTCGACGACCGAGTTCTTTCCGATCGGCTCGACTCATTGGCACTGCGAAGAGATGTTGCATCTCTTAGCATTTTCTTTCGCATTTACCATGGGGAGTGCTCTGAGGAATTGTTCGGATTAATCCCAGCCGCCAAATTTCACGAACGCACATCGCGGCAGAACTCCCAATACCATCCACACCATCTGGATGATTGGCGGTCCACCACTGTGCGATTTAGAAGATGTTTTCTTCCTCGCACGACCTCCTTGTGGAATCGATTACCATCAGCGATTTTTCCGGACCAATACGACTTAGGGACCTTCAAGAAAAGAGCGTACTCCTTTTTAAAAGGCCGGCAACGCATCTGCAATACCCTCCCTGGTGTTGCAGTTGTTCATGGGCGGAGGTAGTCACTTACCATCAGGTGAGCCGCATGCTCGTTTGCCCCCTCTCCTATAAAAAAAAAAAGGTGGCGCGCGTATCGTATCGAGAAATTTATTTGAAAGTTAAATTAATTTAGCATTTAACTTCAATTATTGTACTATCGTTACTAAATTAATAATAAAACTCTTCCAAATATAAAATTATATTTCCATAATTATTTCATCCGCAGCTGCACCGCGCCGGGCACCAGCTAGCGCACTATGAAATCGGGAACTGTAAAAATATGATAAATATATATACAAATAATTTGTTACAATTTCTCTGCGAGTCTACCATTTATGGTTCAAATTTAAAATGAAATCACATCGCTTACTATTTCGTAATATCATATATTACAGGTGGTTGCCAACCCGCCTGCCAAGCGTGGCAACAATGGCAAATATGCCCTTTATGAGGCAATCTTTGCCTAAGTTCAGCAGTGGACTTTGATAGACTGTAATGATGATGATGATGATTTAATAATATAACTAATTGAACCTTAAACCTTCATCTAGAAACGCTAAATATATCAACTTTTGAGTGAAGGCCAAAACAGACGCTGAAAAGTGGAAATGCACAGTCTACTTAATAGTAACTAGACGCTTTTGCTCTCTAGGGAGTACATTCATGAGACTTACAAAATCTATATGAAAATGGAATATTTAATAATTCACTTACTATACGTAGCACAGCATTAAGCAGCTATTTTAGCTAGTTTTTGTGCCGGCGTGGTCTTTTCGGGTTGAACTGACCCCATTCGTGTAGTAGTCATAATATTTCATATCATAGTATATATATATATATATATATATATATATATATATATATATATATATATATATATTAGGACGAGGTAGAGCCACGAGGCAGCTTTTGCTGTCTCACGGATGG